TCCAGCTGCGCTCTCACCAGTGCTGAGTAGAGCGGAAGAATCACCTCCTTGGCTTTGCTGGAGATACCCTGGCATATATCAATCGATGTATTTTTTGCCCTCCTGGCTACAGCATTGCGCTGCTTGCTCATATTCATACTGTGATCTGTTATTACCCCCAGGTCCCTTCCATTCATGGTGCTAGTCAGTTTGGTGCCGCCAAGATTGTAGGTGTGTTGGGGGTTGCTCTTCCTGAGATGGAGCACTTTACATTTCTCGACGTTGAACTTCATGAGGTTCCATTCCGTCCAACTTGCTAGCCTGTCTAGGTCTGCCTGTATCTGTAGCCTATCTTCAAGCGTGACCACGCTCCCCATAACTTGGTGTCGTCTGCAAACTTGGCCAGTGAGCTCTTCACCCCCACATCCAAATCATTAATAAAGTTGTTGAAAAGTACTGGACCAAGCACTGACCCCTGTGGGTCACTGCTGCCCACTTCTCACCAGGATGACACGGATCCGTTCACTATGACTCTCTGGGTCCTATCCTGCAGCTAGTTTCTCATCCATCTAACTGTCTTGGAGTTAAGCCCACAATCCTCCAATTTTCTAGTGAGGACATTGTGGGATACTATATAAAAGGCCTTTTGGAAGTCTATGTATACAATGTCAACCTGTTCTCTTGTGTCCAGGTGGCAAGTTGCCTTATTAACCTAATCTCCTTCTGTGACTGGATAAGACCTGCCAGCGATGGAAGCCATGCTAGCTGTCATTCAGAATCTTACCTTCTGCAAGCTTATTGCAGATAGATTCTTTGATGAACTTCTGTAGGATTTTCCCTAGGATGGAAGTTAGGCTGATTGGCCTATAGTTAGCCGGATCCTCCCTCCTGCCCTTCTTGTGGATGGGCACAACACTGGCCCTCTTCCAGTCCTCAGGGACTTCTCCAGAGTGCCATGAGTTGTGGAAGAGTTTCATCAGGGGTTCTGCAATGACTTCGGCCAGCTCCTTCAGCACTTTTGGACGAAGATCATCCAGTCCTGCTGATTTTGTGTACATCTAATTTTTTTTATTTTTTTTTTTAGTTGGTCATACACCAATTCTATGGCAATAGTAGGAAGGTGATTCTTGCTCATGCTGTACTGTGCGTGGCGTGATTTTTTTCCCCTTGGTCCAGTGAAAGACTGAGGTGAAGTAGTCATTCAGGAGTTCAGCTTTCTCCTGGGTATCAGTAACCAGCTCTCCCAAGTTGTTGAGCAATGACCTCAGACTCCCATTTGTTTTCCTCCTGTTCCCTATGTGCCTAAAGAAGGACTTCTTGTTGTCCTTGATTCCTGTTGCTAATCTAAATTCAGTTGCTGCTTTAGCCTGTCTTATCTGTTCCCTGCAAATGCAGGCTTTCATTGAACAGTCCTCCTTGGGGCCTGCCCTGAGCTTCCATTGTTTATAAACCCCTTTCTTTTTTTCTTAAGAGGAACGTGATTTCCCTCTTTAGCCAAGAGAGCTTCCCAGCCCTTCTGTTACCTTTTCTCCGCATGGGAATGGACTTCCTTTGTACTTCAAGGATCGTGTCCTTTTAAGGAACAACCATTCTTTGTGCGTGCGTTTCACCTTCAGACCCTGGTCCCACAGCACATGCCCTACTAGTGACCTAAGCTTGTTGAAGTTTGCATTTTTTAAGTCCAAGACTTCAATCCTGCTATCTGATTTGTCTGCCTTATGTCGGACAGTGAACACGATGGTTTCATGGTCACTGTTGCCCAGACTTCCCTCTATATTCAAGTCGGTCACTTTTGGTCAGGACCAAGTCTAGTAGAGTGTCACCTCTGGTTGACCCATGTACCCCCTGAGTTGGGAAGAGCTCCTCAACGCAGGTCAGGAAGGATCGCAACCAATCTAACTTGACTGAGTGCTCCTCCCAGGAGATATCTGGATAATTAAAATTGCCCATGACAACCATGTCACAGGCATGTGTGGCCTCAGTCAATTCTCGGGTGAACTCCAGATTGAATTCCTCCCCCTGGTTTAGTGTTCTGTAGCATACACCTACAGTTAGGTCTCTTTCACTGCGCACCCCCCCAACTTAACCCAGAGGATTTCAAACTGTCCATATTTAGAGCCAATATCCGCCTCCAAGGAGGTGTACTGCTCTTCCACACCTCCACCTTTCTTCCCCACCCAGTCCCTTCTGTGCAGGGTGTAGCCCTCTGTAGCTACACTCCAGTCATGTGAGGAGTCCCACCAAGTCTCCATAATCCCTACTAGATCATAATGCACACTGGAGAGTAGGAGGGCTATCTCAGCCTGCTTGTTCCCCGTGTTCCTGGCATTAGTACATAGGCACCTGAGTCCTCCTACTGAGGGCCCTTGTCTTCCTGTCCCACTGATGGAGAACTATTCCCTCGGCTCCCACAAAAGTGGCTCTTCCAGTGCCCCTAGCTACATGGCTTATTTGTATGTTGGTCCCTGGACATGTCTGAATTTGTGTATCCCTGTCCCCCAGCAGTCTTGGTTTAAAGCCCTTTCCAGAAGATCGGCCATCCTGGCTACGAACAGGGACTTAGCTTTCGTTGTGAGGTGGACACAGTCCCTTCCCAGGAGTCGTCTCTCCCTGAATTGGAGCATTGTTTTTGTTTGAGTAGTCAGACAGAGGGGTTGTGTTCACTGCAGAAATATTTCAAATTATAATTTGAGTACTAGTCTGTATTGTACTCCCTACATATACAAACTTTCAACTTGAAGAGGTCTGTCTGAGGCACAATGTTTGGCTTGAGAGCACTGGCATTTGAATCACTGCCTGTAAGATGCATGGACGCAGCAGGAGAAAGATGACAAAACCTTGCCTAATGCATTATGCTGTACAGTCTTGAAACTGGAGGCCTCTTAATGATATTGAGAATATATATATATCTAGTGCTATATGCTGTTAGAACTGAAGCATGAATTTGGAAGGCATTTTCTGGAGCATGTTATTAACGGAACTTAGTAGTTTCTACGTAATACTTGGGACGCCTTGCCCTATTCTGTAAGCAATAAAAGAAGTTGACCATTAAATATAAATTGGCTGAGAATATTTGCCAAACTATTATGGTATGAGTTGGTGTAAAAGACCTACAAACATCAGACTTGTGTTGAAATCCCACTTAATCAATTCCTGGGAAACTGAAGGGCAGTTGAGATCTAGCATAGTGAATTTGGTAGTGAAAAATAAGTTATTACTTGTTAGTGTTTCAAGAATTTACATTCAACCAGTGCAAGAAGCAGAAATGATTCAGTAGTACTAAACTGCACTGCCGGACAAGTTGTCCTTTTGGCAAGAAATATAAAATGATTATTCTTAATGTACCTAAAACAGGGTGGGCAAAATACGGCCTGTCAGGCCATTCTATCTGGCCTGCAGGGCCCCTAAAAATTTAGAAAATGAATATTTATCTGCCCCTGGCTGCCTGTCATGTAGCCCTCGATGGCTTGCCAAAACTCAGTAAGTGGCCCTCTGCCCAAAATACTTGCCTACCTCTGACCTAAAACCTCCTTTAAAAATCACAAAACACCTAAATAAAACCTGAAAGAAAATAGTAAGATCAGTTGCCTTCCACTGGTTAGTTGATCTGTGCCAATTTCAAATGTCTTCAGAGCATGTACTTTCCTTGGGGAGCAGCAGTTACTGATTGTTTGTCATCTGAGTAATAAAGATTAATGTTATCTTCACTGAAGTCTGGTACTTGATGTAACATGAGGAGAATCACCAAGAACATCTGTGTTTGCTAATATATATTATGAGTATTAAAGTGCAGTGGAGGAGCTGAGAAAAGCAACTGCTGATTTAAATAACATCTTGTGGATACAGTAAACAATGTAAATTAAGAGCTATGGGACTTAAGTATGCATTCTGTAAAAATAAATAAATAGTTATATGCTGTCCAATTAGTAATTTTTAAGTCTCATGACGTTGAAGGTGATCTGCAACATAAGTTTATGTACTCTTGTTCATAGGTTTATGTACTCTTTACGTATGGTTTATGGACATAGGTTTATATACTCTTGTTCTTAAGAAATATCTATTCTCTCACCGGCTAGATACAGACTGTCAAAAAGCCTGAGGCTGAATCGATTCAGTCTTTGCAAGTTAGTCTAAGCTGCACAGAGTAAATTGAAACATTTAGTGAACAAATATTTATCTTTTGAGTTGGGAAATGCAGCCATATGCATGCAGTGGCTTAGGCCAGAAGCTGGGGGGAGGATGCATTAGAGCACACCTTTGGCTGTGTGTTCACTTCCTCTTCCTACTGCCCCTGAGGTCTCTGGGATTTGGAGTCCAAAATTACAGCAGCAGGAGTCTGCAGGGTTGCTCATCACAACTTCCTGCTTCCAGGTGCCCCTAGGATTTGTAGTCCACATTTGCTGCCAGCAGTAAATTTGAGCTGGGGAAGGGGTGTTCAGGCTCCTCACTCCTTGGCCCCTAACCCCAGCTGGGGGTTGGGTGGTGGGGAGCACTCCCTCCTCCCCCACAGACTGGGCTACATCCCCAGCCAGGCTTCTTCCCACCCCCATTCCCTTGTCAGCCAGCTCTCACTGCTCCAGTTAGGGAGCAGAGTGGTGGAGCCAGCCCTGTTCTCTGGAGCAGACAGGGCTGGAAAGCATTGGGGACTGTGATTTACCTTGAACCAGGAAGGGGTTTATGACAGAAGTTTCATAGACTGGTTTGAGCTCAATTAGTTAAACCTGGCTGAATGCAGTTATCAGACTTATCTTAAACCAGTTTCAGCCATTTTGAAACTGATTTATGTGCACTGAACTTCTATTGTGTTACAAGTTTAAACCAGTTTCTGATCACTTAAACTGGTTTATGTGTAATGTCTGTCCCTAGCCTTCTTGTCTTAGGTACACTTCTGTTTTCTGGGGTTTCCTTTTTTTAATCCTACATATAGAAATACCAAAAGCTGGAAATAATTGCTAATTTTTGTTCTCATTTGAAGTTTTGAGGAAAAAATATTCTCTTATCATTTTATTGTCTTAATATAGGTATCTAAGAGATTATGGCTTCTGAAGCCCACAATGATAGAAAACGAAACCTGTTGCATATTGAAGGTTGTCCCATTGATCTCCCCAGAAAAAGGATCTCTTATTCCCCTAATAAGAACATGAAGAAGGTAAGTGCTATCTTTATTAATTTCCTCACACAAATTAACTATCATCACATTTATAAAGGTGAAGGATTAATCTGTTTATCTCTAAATGCACTGTAAATCTTGTTCTTGATACAAAAGCATGTTTGTCCACAAGTATTTGTTTCTATTTTAACATCAAAAGAGCTCTATCTACAGCTCTGTGCATCTTGACATCAATGAAATATATATCCTGACTTTTTTATATTTGCTAAATGGCCACAACTCTTATTACAATCAATGAGCGCTACAGTAAATCCCAAGCCAAATGTAGTGGCCAGCAAGCAAGAAATTGCTACAAAATTTACATCTTCCATTCTCAGAAACTTGAAGCTCCCAACCTACCTCTGTCTCCCCAGATGCCTGTGAACATAACTGCCATAGCCAATGAACAGGTTGGTGTGTTTAAAATCTTAGACATCAATAGATTGCGTGTGTAAATAACAGACTTTAGCTATTGGGCTAAAGAATTGGTACCATCTCTCCTTTTTTTCCGCCCTGCAAACCCTTCCTCCCTGGGGGAGAGCTGAGGTTCATCTTGACCACCCAAAAGGACCTTTGTGAAATTGTAACAATAACCAGGGCTCTTTATCCAGGAAGGTCCAATCTGAAAGCATCGGAGACTTCTAAATGGCCCCCCAATTATCAACTTTGGCTGCATATCATGTATGTGCACTTTTAACTGAGATGATGAGCAGCTAGAATATATAGCTGAAATTCTCCCAACTCACCACAGTACATTTTAGTTTTGAGCAATTTGTTTTTATTCCTGTTTTATTGCTTCACTCAAAAATGAGAAATTCTGTATGCTCAGCTATAGGGACATGTAGAGTATGCTGATATTTATTTATTCCAGAGCTCCTCACTAGTTCACTAAATATCTTTCACATCAAATAAAGTAATGGTATCTCTAGTACCCCTCTAGAATCATGGCAGTGCGGTTACTAACACTTCACGCGCAGTTACCAGCATTTGCATTGTCAATTTGAAAGCAAGGAACGAATCCTGTTGAGGACAATCCTTATTCAAAATCTCAAGGAATCATAAGTGGTCCACAATTTTCGAAGCGGCTACTAAATATAAAAACAAGATTGAATATCGGCATGGATGCTAGGTCTTTAGTAGGCTCCCAAGGCTGCATCTAATTGAGTGCAGCTGTGCAGTATATGGTGCTGCAGACATGTCTGTGGCACCACATACTGCACAGTCAGTTGGTAGGAGCAGTCAAGGGAGCAGCATGAAGGGCTTTTTGATCTCTGGATATCTAGGGGTTAAAAAAACCTGCAGAAAAAAAGCAGAGTGGTGTGCATGCCAGCAGCATGCGGTGCCCGAAGCCAGAGCATGGTTGGCCAGAACCACACTACCGGCCAGGTTCTGTGTGGCAGGATTATCACTACTGCTGCTGCAGCCCCAGGGCACCCCCAGAATCCCAGATAAAGCTGCTGGGGCAAGCACTGGGCTGGCCCCAACCTCCCATACCCCACCTGGGTAACTTGTTGCACACCAGAGCACGTGTGGCACAGGCATTTGTTGTCCCCGACAACAAACACATTGGCACAGAGCACGTGTGGCACAGACATATAGTTGTCCCCGAGGAACCAGATGTGCACACACATCTGGATACAGCTCAAAAGGCTATTGACAAATGCTACCATGTATAATTCCTAGAGGAATACAGCAAAGTGATTTCCATCATAAAAAGATTAGACAGCCTCATGGTTGTACAATCTGGATGTTTATTGCATTTACAGGCGCAGATGGGTTTGTCCAAATTCACTATGTTCTTTTCTTTAATCTGTCAAGCAACCTGCAGTACATCTCCATCTGAAGGGAGACTAAATTAACCAGTTAGTTACTATTTTTGACAGTGGATTATGTCAATCTTACTGTACCATAGTAGGTGTAAACTTTTCTGTTTAACTAAAATGTTATTATGTGCTAAATCACTTAGTGTGAGAATTCAAGTGCTTCCAGTTTCTCTTGCTTCACCTATCACACATCTCTAAATTATGAGCCATATCAAGATGAAGCCAGAGAAGAAATCAGTAAAGGACTGCTTTTTAAGTGACTAGGGATAAATATTATTCAGTGTTAAACTAAACTATTGATTGACTATAGATAATCCAGCATTTTCTTGGCATTGGGGGATTTCTGAAACAAAATGTTTCCAAAGTCCAAATGAGCAGAACGGATCTCTCTGCCTGACTGCAAATGCAGGAGGCAGTGATCAGTCCATGACATAAATACAACTAAGCTGGATAGATTCAGTGTAGCTATCTGAGTTGAGCCTGTGGCCACTTGATATAAGCTTTTATGGTGGCTGTGGTGGCCAGAAAATTCTGAGCTGAATATAGGGAATCCTTTTTTCATGATGACTATTGAAGTTTCTGTGAACTGCTTGTCTTCACTACCAATCCATCAACTAATTTTGGGATTCTGCAGTTTGTCTGCAAAAGCTGTATGTTGGCACTAGTCTTGTCTCTATCCCGTGGCTAGTGTACTATATCTTCTATAAAATACTGTAAAACTTTTGGAGCACAGGATCCTGCTTTATATTGGATTTAAATGATACAACACAGTTGTCTTTCTAGTCTTTTCATTGATTCATGTTATGATGAGAGTGAACTTCATCAGAACCAGTCTTGCAGTATCATCCAGCACAGGCAAAGGAGGAGGACCTCATCCCTTATCCAAACCAGTTTTCACACTTTTTTCTCTCTCTCTTTCCCAGTGTTGCCAGTCAAAAAAGGCAGTACTGTGTTCCCTTTTTATTGTTGTTAGTGAAATTAAAGATCATAGCCAACTGAAGCCCATAAGTGTGTCTTACCCAGATAACGTAGGAGCAATGAAGGCTTAAAAAGAAATGCCCCACTAAAAGCATTTTGCTGAGAGCAAAATTAAAATTGTGGAGAGGTGATGCCAGAAAGGTGGTAATTCATGGTTTCACCCACTCTTAAGAACACACTGAGATCTCTCCATTTCATTTTTGTAGGGTAGGATTTCTGCTTAGTTTCACGGAGCAGAGCTGGAGATGAAGCTGAAGGCAGGCTCCTTCTGTGGTCTACTACTTCCACCAGAAATCAGCACAATAGTTACTGCTGCTCTAAAGAGTGCCCAATGCAGTTACAAGCATGTGGCCAGATGCAAGGTGGAGGGAACTGATTTGGGTCTCTACTTGGGAGAACTGTGGGCACCTATACATATGCTAGACATCTGCTTCAACACATGCTAACTAGTATGTGTCAGAGCAGACTATTGAGTGATGGAGTGTGCGAAATGGCTTGCTCCAGCAGCCTCCGCATTGTGTGCGTTCAGCAGCCCTGCACTTCAAAATGGCAGTGGGGGCGCTTTAACTAAAGCACATCAAATGAGTTTTAGTTAAAGCGCCCCACCTCTGTTTTGAAGTGCAGGATGCTGAATACACGTGACACTGTGGGCTCTTTAATTAAAGCGCCACCCCCTCTACCCCAGAGCATGTGTAAAAACGCCGTATAAGTTTGGGGAACAGAATTCTTGGTAGATTTTCTCCATGACCTCCTAAAGTTTTCTGTAAAACTCAAAAAATACCATATTGAAGAAGTAGTTATTGCAAGATTCAGCAGGAGTGACTTCTGATTGCAGTTGGCTGACTTGGACAATTTTGACAAATGGATGTTTATGTAAATTTATGTTTAAATGGAATTAGACTAGATTCTGTACACATGAAAAAGCTCTTGTGCCTTTAGCAGTCTAATACTTTTAATAAATCTGTTGGTTTTGAAATTCCAAATATTAAATACATATTTTAATGAAGTGGCAGGTTTCTAATTCTAATTTTAAATGATATTATTGGCAAAGAAATATAATTAGTAAGCTTTTTAATAATGAAGAAACATGTATGCTGCTTAACTTTTTTTTAACTTTAATCTGTACAGCAAAATCTTAGCAGTAGTGACAAAAATTTCCCTTGATTATCCATATGTTTACAGTGCAAGTGATGTTGGGGAATTAATTCAAATAAGTGAAACTGAAGCAATCAAGGTTGGATTGTAGAGACCAGCTATGCTAGTTACATTTTCTCAAGATGCCTCCTTCTTACCCAATATTTACAGCTAATGTATTCAAAACACTTAACCTGATAGCAGTGATTTCCTCAGTTGCAGTTTCTTCATCAAATTCAGATGATTTATGTTAGACAATGTAGTTATGTTGTGCTGTTTACATACAATATAAAGCAAAATCTCCTACTACACCTACCATATTGGTAAAGGGAGAAATGATGTTTGATGTCACAATACCAGCACTTACCAAAGACATCACAATCTCATTACTGAACAGGATGCCGATAGGACAGTATGGAGGAAAAGCTACATCTCCATAAAACCTGTAGGTCTTTTACAGGTACAAACCGATGGAAGAAAGTAAGCAAAAACTATTTCCATGTTTCGGTTATATGCGAATAGGGAAGGACCCTAGTAAAGTGGCTTTCTTTTTTTTTCTGTATAAATTGGACTCGTGTTTCTGCCTTTATAATAATTGTGTGGCTCTTTTTCTTTCCTTCCATAGAGTAAGAAATCTTCAAAACAGTTGGCTTCATACACAAACAGGTAGGAAACCTGCAATTTAGAATCTACAGAAAGAAATAAACTGTTCAAATTCCCTGAATTTGAACTATTGGTTGAATCGGCATGGATTAATATTAATTTCAGAGCACTTTTGTTTCTAATTTCTTTCCTGGATATTGTCATGAGTTTCCAGAGGAAAGCAGGAAGGAATAATACTAGAAGTTTGCTATTCTAATTTTATTTAATTACAGTTCTTAAAATATAAGAGAGAACATTTCCTTTTCTAAGATAGAAAATGATTTGATTAAAAATTAACATTGCTATATTTATTAATATTTTAATGAGTTTTTACATTGTGTATAATGTCAAATGAGGCAAGACTGATTTAATGTATCGTATTGTTTTTGCAGAACGACAGTTGGACAAACTTTGGCCAGCCCGTGCTCTCTGTTCAAAGTAGTATATTGCAAAAGAAAAGTTCAACATTACAGCCCAAAGCCTTGTTATAGAAAAAATCAGTTCCCTAAGGTCAGGAGTTGTGAAATGGCAAATAAGGAAAATGAGCTCGCTTGTGCAGGTAATCTGCCAGCAAAACTACACAATGACAGTCGCACATTGCTATTAAATCCCAGTGATTCTGGTGCCTCTCAAACAGAAGGTCCATCATCAAAATACAGTGGATTTTTTTCAGAGGCAAGTAAACTTTTAAAAGTATTTCTTAATATAACAGATTCATATTATCTGCAATCCATTGATTTCATTTGGGGTTTTATTTAGTTGGCTCTGGAAACTTTCATTAGAGTATTTGGCTAAGCCCAGCATTTTCTGTACCAGGCCTTTTAAATAAGTAAAGTAAATCAAAATTTGTCTCTTTCTTGAGTTAACTGAAATTGAAAATTACTGCTGAATACTGCATTTTCATATTAGTATAGATCATTCATTGTGATATTTTGTAATTGACCAGATATTGAAGCATGTGGATTATTTTTTGGAGTGGTCACTCTAATTCAAGGGGGGGGGGGGGGATTAAAAATACAATTCAGTAGTAGAATTTTCAGAAATTTTGCCTAAATTTTAAATTCCTAACTCCTTGTTTAGAAACCGAAACAAATATGTGAATGTTTCAAAATTATTGAATAGCCAGGAGTTGCTGTTGAAGTTGGTGACAAGTGCAGGCTGCTTGACATCTGTGAATTGTAAATTGATTTATGTAGGTATCTAACTGTAGGCATCCATTTTTGTATGTTTGTAATAGCACTGTTAGATTTCTTTTGTTGTTGTTGTTGAAGTGGGGGAGAAGGGAGGGTTCCTTAATGGAGAATCTTCGAACAGGTAATAGTAAATAATGATCTTTCTGCATCTGAAGATTTCTGAGTCTGTGTCTATATCAAGTTGAAATTCCTCTTACCCAAATAAGCATATTACAATTGAGATAGAAATCAAAAAGTTTTCTGTGTCATTTTTTCTTACAGCAATGTGTTGTGCAATAACTGATGATTTAAAATTCTTTTTGTATTTTCTAAAAACATTGTTTAGGTTTCTCAGGACCATGAAACTATGGCGCAAGTTCTTTTCAGTAGAAATTTGAGGCTGAATGTAGCTTTAACTTTCTGGAGAAGGAGAAGTATAAGTGAACTGGTAGCCTACTTACTGAGGTAAAACAAATGGGTTTTCTTTAAAACCTTATTTTTAAATTCCTTTCCAAAGGTAATAGCAATCCCAAACCTGCCACAGAACTGTAGCCTTTCCTTAATTTGTGATTTTTTTTTTTTTTTTTTTTTTTTAACCATAATTTCTGAGTGTTTTTAATTTTAAAGTAATTCTACTGGATTTAAGTGGTATAACATATAATCAACTAATATTCTATTCTTCCTAATATCTCTAGGATACAGGATCTTGGAGTAATAGTAGATTGCCTTCCTGTGCTTACCAGCAGGTAAGAAAAAATGTTCAGGATGGAGGGAGTTTGAGTGGGATTCAGAATTAATATGTTAAAAATTCATATAATTTGACATGTTCATTTTTTAGTTTACAGGAAGAAAAGCCATATATATCAGTTGGTTGCTGTGTAGATCTATTGACTTTAGTAAAATTGCTGCTTAAAAGCAAATATGAAGAGTAAGTATCAAAATGAGTGGTCATATTAAAAAATATGGAGCTTAAAAGTAAATGATTCCAAAGACTTCCCTAACACCATTCATGCAATGAAGTGCTACTGCACTGTATCCATTGTGCACCCACCCAATGCACCCCCTCCACCCCAGCACAAAAGCCTACATTGTAGCAGATGTTAGCTTTCTGCATTGAAACAGTAGGGAAACTAACATGCAAAAGAGCTTCATGTGTGAATCCCTACCCTGATCCCCATCCCTCCCTGTTCCGTTCCCTCCCACCCTCACCTTTTGTGCAAAAGCCACATTGTTTCTTCTGCCAAGGGCTCCTCTGCAGTCAAGGAGTAAGGAGCTAGCTGGTTTTGTCCTTGTACCACGACTCATTTGCAGTCAGCATTAAAATTGTGAAGACCACCACTACCATCATGAGTCCAGGTTATGAAACTTAAGGAAAGTAATTCTCTAATGCAAAATATCTTAAGGAATTCTTTGTTACGTGAGCTCTAATATATGGTTTTAAAATGGAAAATAGCAGTTTGAGGGTATAAAGTCATTCTTCATGGATTTCCTATTGTCTTTTTTTTTTTTAACTGAGCATTTACCTACATAGAGAGGAACCTTTTTATCTTTGAGCTATAGTGTCAGTGGATATTGTATCAAACTATCAAAATGAGAGATTATTCATATCTAAATATGTTGTTACAGATATGTGCTAGTTGGTTTAAATTGGCTCCAAGCTGTCATTAAAAGATGGTGGTCAGAACTATCTGCACACACGGGAAAGGTAGAGGATGGGTGAGTATAATAGTGTGAATACTGTAACTCATTTGTGTGGCTGTGTAGCCAATTTCAAGTAACTTTTGAATTTACCTACTCTACTTTCTAGCCCTTCTAATAAGACGGATTAAAAAAAAACTAGGAAACATGGTAACTTGAAATGCACACAGCCAAAAAGTGTTTTACTTCTGTTGTAGTGTTTTATGTATTAACTACTTTGAAACTTTCTTTTAAAAATTGCTCCATTTTTAAGGAGTAAATGGTGTTCTTTCAAAGCAGAAAATTCTGTTTTAAAAGCTTTCTCAATAATTTTGCATTGAAATTTTAATAAAAGCAAAAGTCATGTCATAATGAATACTGCAAAAACTGCTGAATTTATTTGAACGGGAAGTTAAGAACTGAGCCCTGCACTCTATTTGAAATTGCAGTCCTTCAAAAGCCATATCTACTGTTAAACTGTTTTTGAAGATTGGCATTCAGATAAGTAATATACATCATAGCATACTTGTTTCTGAAGTTATAATTGTATGCATTTTATTCCAGAAATATTCAGATTTTAAAAGAGCAATTATGTGGACTATGGAAACAAGAAAATCATCTTACCCTGGTTCCAGGATATACTGGTAGTATAGCTAAGGTAATCTGCATGCATTGGTTATAGATGGTCAGTGAAACCCTTGATATCAATTACATGAATATTTATTACACACATTTTGGAGGATGTGGGATTTTCAGTTCTGGAAATTTGTATTAATGGTCAAGTAAATTGGAAGAGCGATCTGAAACATCTGAGTTGTCCACCTTTTTAATATGCAATTTGTTAGCTGTCCTGTGGCATTCATGGTTTGTTTTGTTTTTCCTCTCCTTTTGTAATGTATCATACTTCAGCAGAATAAGAATCTATTTTTCTAGTAATAGTATAGTTCTTGGATACTGTGTGGCTGGTATAAAAAGGTCAACGGATAGGTAGAGAGAATGCAAGAGCACAAAGATTCTTTAAAAACTGACATGTAAAATAACTGGTGTATGCCTGTAATCATAGCTCAACATGGAATTCATCTATCATAGAATTTAATTCAAAGATGTCAGCTTTCATTAAAAAAATAAAACAAACTGGTTCTTCTTGCCAAGATAATGTGAGTGGAACATAAATCAGCATACTGTCTTAGTCTACATATAGCATAAAGAAAATGGTTCTGGAGTGTTGCCTAATTCACTGTATCTCATTTGCAGCCTTGTGAAGCCTCACAGTTCCATGGCTATGAGATTTGCTGTTTTGCTGCATGCAAACACCTGAATCTTGTTTTGTTTCCCTGTCCTACTGGGACTTGCTTGCAGCTGTTTTTTGAACTCTAGCTTTCCCCACAAGGAGATATACAGTGTTGCATCCAGATAGCAGGGGATCAAGGAATCAGAACCAGAGTCTAGCTTATAGCCAAAGAGTAACTTGGGCCAGAAATTTTAGACTGCTGCACTGGACTACCTGAAGAGCAGCACAACAGCTAAAGCCTAGGGAAATGAGCTGTTGAAACTGGCTACAAATCTCCCTTGTGCATCTGGAGAAATAGAGGTTCCAGTCAAGGCCATACGAACAACAGTGTGGAGCAGCAGGCATGGGGGATCTATGTCTGTAGATCATAGCTGGAGGGGAAAACCTCATCTGCAAACAAAACTCATTTTGAAAATAACTGAGCACTTTTACATCTTGGGTACTTTCAACTGTGTGCTACAAAGAAATGGAGGGAGGGAGGTTGTTTTTTTCCACTTCTTTCCCCTTCCCTCCCTACCTCCCCTCAGCACAAGAATCATGTCTGCAGGAAGCAGTCTTGAACTGGGGAGAAGGGTTTTTTTCAGATCTTACTTTCTAATGTGCTCTGAAACAATTGCATACAGTAGGATATATATGGTATTCTAGATTTTGGTGTTTTTTAAATTAATACCAGTCTTTATTCTCCTAGGATGTAGATGCTTATTTATTACAACTACACTGAGATGTTTGGAGAATGAGGTGTGCATATTTGGCTAAATAATCCCGTAGAATCTCTCTGGAATTTGTATCGTTTCCAAAAGACTTCTCTTCTGAGAACTGTTGACAGAAGAGGACTGGATCTTCAAAACCGTTTAATGAAACCACTAACAAAATCCTAACAATCTACTTCACATTGAAGTGGAAAAATGTGTAATAGGAGCAACTTTTTACTTCAGTGAGGTGAAAGTGCACTATGAAGACTGTATGCCTTTGCTGCATTTGGGATTTGTCCAGTTACTCAGTAAAGTTGTTTAAGTGCTACTGTATTTTACTACAATATTGCATAAAAGAATATAAATTGTACCATCATGAAGACAACTATAGAACCAGTTATAAGGAACCAACAAAACGGATCACCATAATGGCTTTTTATCTGTTTCAAAGAGATATATGTGCTACTATTTTCAAGTTACATTGAGAAATGTTTATTTACTATCTTGTTTTAATCAAAATATTAAAGATGTTTTTGTTTGCACTATTGAGGAAAATGTATACAACAAGATGCCTTAATTACTACTAGTGTTTTTAAAAAATGCTTGAGGTATTGAAATACAAATCTATTATAATCAACAGATAAAGACATATTGAACACTGCTATAAAAATCGGGGTTTTGCATCATGCGGAACTCAATTTGTGAAACTTTTTGCACATTGACTAAGTGGATGTTTCCACCTGTCTGATGTTAAGAAACTCATCTCATATGTGACATAACTAAAAATATATGAATTTAAGCCTATACAAATGCTTATTGCAAACTTCTGCAGATGGGTGTATAAATTCACCAAACACTTTTTTTTTGTGTGTCGATTTCTAATATGATAATCTCCAGTTCTGTATCATTTAAATTATGTGCAGCTAAGTAAATATACTAAATTTATGTATTTTTTTTTTCTTTTTAAGCTCAAAAATTTACCTTTTTATTTCTAGAACAACCTCTTCCACACTACTTTTTATTACAGATATTTATATCTACTACTTTAGAAATGTTTACAACCAGAATAAGCCGTATTTTTCAGATATAACAACATTTTATATGCTACCTCCAGTTTTAAAAAGTTGATAATTGTTTTTTCAAAACTAGTTATGTTTTCCTGATTTTTAATTTTGGCAGATTTATGCTACCTTTAAATCCAAAGGGAACCACAGTGAAAACAAAATCAGAACAGTTCATAGCTGTCTTGTCTTACTGATGTGATTTTTAGTTTGACTGTTACAGCTCACCTGCTGTGGAAAAAGTCTGGGTTTTTTAAGGCTAACAGCTGTCTTTATTTTGTAACCAATGAAAATGCTTTTCCAGATAATTCTGTGAAGTGCCAGCTGTGCACTTAAAACAAACTGAAAGATGGAACATGCACCCACCAAGCAATTGTATCAGTTCAAAACCAAGATGATTATAGAACTTTTTTCACACTTAATTTTAACTATTATAGTTATTGTAGCTTCGTATACATTCTACTCCACCTCCACACAGGAAAAATATTTCTTGCCTGCTCTTTATATATAGGGGCATCTCTGAAATGTCTATATTGTAAATTCACTATGCGGGGAATCTAAGTTTCCTTGAGTTTACATGTCATGAATGCTAACTTCTAAGGGTCAACTAGGAAAAAATATCTTCAGAATTTGGTGCTTACATTTTGTATAGTTGACTATGCCCTACTTTGTGAAAGAGTACGAACATCTCAGTAATGCCATCTGTCTAAAGAATAAGAAACTTGATAGTTTCCAAAGCTGTTATTGCTTCAAGACAATCTTTCAGGATATTAAACTGGGTACTTCAGATAATTTGGAAGTTTTATGTTTTCCTATCACCATCCTACAATCTTGTCTGTATGAGAAATTATTTCAAGAGTTCAACCTAGCTGGGTTTTTTTTTTTTTTCACCTGCTAGCTTTTGTAATTTTAGATGACCTTTTTAGTTCTTTTTAGCTACAGTAAACTTTAATCAAACTTACCCATCCTTAATTCTCCCAGTAGAAGGTAATTTGCCTTTTTTTTTTTTTTTTTTAAAGATGTCTCCCTGGTAATGCACTAAGAGTTTGAAATGGAATTTCTTCTCTCCAGTATAGTAAGTGGATTTGTGGAACCAGTACCATAAATATAATTAGAAGCAAAGATGTTTCTGTACTGTATAGTGATCTTCCATGATACAGAAAGATGGCCTTCTAAATTTCCTCTTTTGAATTTAACTTGTGATTACTAGATCTTTAAAAAAGGCTTTTAAAAGGTACGGAAAGGTAAAGAAGAAGGAAAGCCATCTTTGTGTTGATTTTTCGGTGGAGGGAAACAAATTTCATGTCGATTTTAAAAAAAAAAAAAAAAAAAAAAAAAGGAAGGTGGCCTGAGGCTGAATGAAATAACTACTGCAATTTCAAGTGGAATACATCTCTTTAATCCAGTGTGCCAAATACATTATGGTCTAGAAGCAAAAGTAAAGCTGACTTGTAAATAATATGGATCTTTCCCACCAAAAAATTCTATTTTAGCAAGGCTTAATAAGAATACAGTATTAAAAAATGTTGTCTAGCATGTGTGCCTTATTTGAATGGGCTTATCTCCTAATTTGTACCTATTTTAGGCAGCTACTAAACTATGTATGAGATGTAAAATCTCTTCAGCCTCTGCAAGAGAAGGCTGAGAGGCGATATTGTGACTGCCTACGAGCTCATCGGGGTGTCAGCAGGGAATAGGGGACACTGTTTACCAGGGCGCCCCTCGGAGTTACCAGAAATAATGGCCACAAACTGAAGGAGAGTAGATTTAGATTGGACATAAGCAAGACATTCTTTATAGTAAGGGCTGCCAAAATATGGAATGAGCTTCCAAGGGAGGTGGTGCTTTCCCTAATGTCTCTCTCTGTCTCTCAGATCCATAAATAATTCATTGGGGGGGGCGTTATTTTGTTTTAAAAACAACCTTTTGCCTATACCTGTACTGCCACTTGTTGATCAACTGAATGGCTTCCGTCAATGCTGACAATTTCTTTTTTTTCCTCATACAGTATTTTAATCAGATCATAGTTACTAAATGCAGATGGAAGGCAATATTGAACATACCTCTGTTAAACTTCTGACCCAACGGAAAGTTAACTTTCAGTATAAACTACATTGAGGGGAGAGAAGTTTGTTCAGTTTTAAACTTGAAGGCTTATTTTTGTTTGCTTTCTTGTGATATTGAAGCATGTATCTACTTGAGGATGGAGGCTGCTACACATCAGTGTTCTTTATTACACCACTGAAGATGAAATTCTTGTCTTTTGAAAACTACAAGATGCTGTGTTGGAGAATATTTGTTCGTTTTTACTCCAGTACTTGCAGAAAGTACCCGAGGCTATCCTATTAAAAGAGTTTTGACAGGAATTGCAAACTGGGGCTTGCCCCAACTCCCTACACAGCCCTTAAGCAAATTATGAACTGGTCTCAAAGAACCAATGTGAATTGCTACTATCGGAATCCATGTTTTAGTAATTCTGATACCTTGCTTAAGAGACTGAGATTGGGAAAAGCTAAACAATTAAGTTGAATGCAAAGAATCCTTGTTTTTAAGCTGATATATGATTCTATTTGAAGGAACCAAGAGAACATATTTCTTCCTAAAGAACAGCAATCGTAATTCACTTCTGGAAGTTGAAAACTCTTATATCTAAGATAAATCTTGTAGTGTGAATTTTCCTAACATCTCAATTTTTATTCTGTGTCTTGTAATTAAAAAAACGTATGGAGTGTGTATGCGTGTTCGGGAGACGGGGCTAGATGGTATGCTATCTAGGTTTTCTTTCCCCCTTTGCCCTTTCCCATTGCACAAGAAAGTAAGTCTTCTGCACTACTGTTCTCATACTGGCATCTAGAGTGTAGTAGATGCTTTTTTTTTTTTTCTTTTCTTTTTTTTGTTTACTGAGTTTACAGAGTAGAAATGCTGTGTTGCTTTATGCATCCCATTAGTGGCATATGTAATATAATCAAATCGTAGCTCGGGTGTTTTTGTTTCTGGACTATTCTTCTGACTTCTTAATTCCAGGTCCAGCTGACCAGCTAGCACTCTTTTTGTTTAAACTTAATACATGAGAGAATACAAAAAAAAAAACAAAAACCCAAAACAATTCATTTTAAACTTTTCAAATCCACCCTGAATTATTTGCCATATGAAATGTACATTTAGTGTGTGTAAAAAGACTTGCTTGTTGCCATCTTTTTTGTTAGTTTTTATAATTGGGATCACTATTTATTGACAGCCTTATTCAGCAGACTCCACAGAGCCCAGGGCCTGAAAAGCCATGGAGACTAAACTATACATTACCCTCTTGCACTTAAAAGAAGTTTCTATTACCCACAGCTGAAACCTAAATTGGTAGAGCAGCACAGGAATGCTTTGCTAATGCTCATAGTGTACTTTCATTTTAAACAATGACTTATGCAAAAATAGTCCCTGTGACTTTGAATGTCCAGTCTAATGTATGAGAAGAGGTACCCATGGGATTCAATCTCCATATAATAGTTAAGAGTCATATAATCTAAAGACATTTGCCTGTTTTTCTGTTGCTAAGAAATACAAAAATGGAAGAAACCAAATGCTGGAAAATGTTAAATACCATGTACATTAGTAATTTGGAAATGAATGCATTTCCAGTAAGACTTACTTCAGTGTCATTACATAAATATTTGTGTAAAAACATTCAAAAGTCTAGTGGGCACTCATGATTTGCAAGTCTGTATAGGGCTTACTCTCTTAACAGAGGGAGGTCTTAAGGAAGCACAAACAGCTGAGTTCCAGTCCAGACTCTGATGGTGTCTTGCTTTATGGCCTTGAACAATATCTTGAATCTTAGCCTTTTCTTCCTGTGTAAAAACATACAATGCTACTGGCCGCCTTCCTAGCATGTATGTGTCTATTTTAAGATAGTTAATGTTTGTAAAATGTGTTAAAAATAAAATATCATTTTCAAAGTGGGTTGGTATTTTTCAAAGGCTATTTTTAAATGTTTCACCTAGTGTAGCAGTAGTGTATGTAGCTGTCAAGTTTGTGGTGCACCTTTTTATGCAAATAGATCACTTTGACTGTTTTGATCAGTACAAGTCTCCCCATCTATCCTAGAAAAATGTTTTTTAAATTCATTTTTAATTATTCAGTCAAACCAATAACTAGTAAGGAAGCTATAATGTAAACAGGCCCCTATTTAAAATTTATTTATTTATTGACTGACTGACTGACTCTTTTTTTTTTTTTGCATAAGTATGACATCTGTATACTCTTTTTTACAACTGCAGATTTTTTTAAATGAAAACATGGTACCCAAAGTAATGACTGTAAAAACAATGTATCATAAACCTGATGTAAGTATTTCTGCAAATAGGCCTCTGACTTTTTTTTATATAATATGGTATAATTATCTGTAAAGAGGGTGAACAAGTCTACATGAATGTTTGTGCATAGCAAAAACACTGAACTTTATTGAAATCATAATTTTTTTCATGTTCAAGATCTTTAAGAGCACTTTAGTTATTACACAATACTCATGCAGATTGCATCTCAGTATTTCAAATTAAAGTGAGCTAAAAAAAAAAAATCAAGATAATGCTATAATGTACACCAACGCTATTTTAAAATACTTATGTGATTTTTTTTTTAAGAATCTCATGTAATTTCTATAAAGCTTAAAAGGCACAGTCAATTTAATTTACTCAGTTTTATAACAGTTTGAATCACACCTGCCAAGTTTTGTAGGTTTTTAAAATGCACAAGAAATCTGCCAAACTCACTGTCCAAAGCATTGTCAACATTGCAAAGTAATCCATTTGAAATATAGAATAGAAGAAATGTTTAGCATTTTCAATAACTTGTAGGTGTTGTTACTTAAGTGCAAACGGAGTAGAGGAGGAGGTTTTGTACTGAATACAGCCTTTTAAAACCCATATAACTTTCTATTTTATTATAAACCACCTTACCAGGACGTGAATTGGATTTCTACCTACCTAGGGACGGAAGTAACACACAAACCAGTTTAAGTGATCAGAAACTGGTTTAAACCTGAAGGACCGTGTGGGTGAGAGGACAGAATTTATAACTTGGCTGTGAAAAGACACCAAAGGAAGACTCTCAACCAGTATTGGGAAGAGGAGACCACAACAAATGGAAAAAAAAAAACAAACCCTTACAGGTTTGCTGATAGTTTATGCCAAAGCATTCTTAACAGGCTTGGCTCTCAATTTTCTCCTGAGGCATACATGCATTAAGGCCTTTGGCTTATCCATAAGAAATAGGCAGTTCACTCAATAGCTTGAAGCTACTGTGGTTGAAGTATTTGTACTTCAGTAGCATTCAGGAATGATATCTGGCTGTGCTAACATGTTTCTTGACTTGAAATCAAAGTTACTTCATTGTTATAAGGTAAATACATGCTTAGTTTCCTTCATCTGTCTCAGGTGGAAAAGGTTGGGCCTGCTGCTGTTGGCAGCAGCTTCTACTTCCCAGCTTGGTTGATAAAACACATCCAACTGAACTGAACACTTGCAAGAACTCTATGATCTTACTTAAGGGACTCAAAAGGTTTATCAGAACAGATATAACCAAAGGTACATAACAAACAAGGATAGGTGATAAACCAACAAAAAGCCTATACAATCCCCTCCCCCCCTCCACTTTTTTTTTTTTTTTTTAAATCTTAAAAGTACTTGGGTACTTAGGTCTGCTCAGCCTGAATGAATCTTCCTGATCTGTGAGTGACAGATATAGAAAATGCTGTATGAGTTTTTTCTCAAACATATCTCCAGTTGCAGCTGCCTACTCTACCATCCTTTATTCCTGAGGACTCCTGGTTTAGAATCCCCTTTTGGCTCAGGTTTAGGCCTGGCAGAAAGAAACCTTTCTTGCTTAGAGCCAGACAGGTTAGTATTCCCCAGTTTATAAACTCCCCATCATTTTCTTATGAACCCATGTAGTCAGGGAGGCTAAATGTGTAATGGTGAATATAATTTAAAAAATAACTACCTTAATCTCCTCAGTGACTTTTCTGAATTGCCTACAATTAGCCTACTTTTCTGAATTGCCTATAGTTGGGCTTAGGGAGTGGCGTGAGATGCACAGGTGAAGGCCTGTCACACCCCTGCACCCCGAGGCCCCCAGTGACCCCCCAACAGACACAGAGCACCCTGCTGACCCCCAGCACAGCCAGAGGTAAATGAGGCCCGTGGATGGAGGGACTAGTTTAGATCAGCTGCAGGCAGGCAGCTGAGAGGAGCCGAGGAGAGTCTTGCGCCATGCTGACTCCTACTTCGCCCAGCCCCCCAGGAAGCCACACAACTGGAGCCTCACAAACAGGTGCGCAAGTTAGTGCGGGAGTTTGTGCAGGAGGGTAAGCGGGAGATAGACTCCTACTGCCAGGCCCTTCACCCCTGAAGGTGGAGGGTAGACCAAGGTCACCTTCCAGGACAAGGGAGGACTTGGGGACCAGTCCAGCCTCTTGCAGCCCCAGTAGAGCCAACAGAGATGCTAGCTCCTGCAGGCAAGGGAGGATCACCTACCCCTACTCTCCCTAAAACGAAACACAGAGTGCTCATCATGGAAGACTCCCTCCTGAGGGGGACTGAGAGGGCAATCTGCCGCCCCGACCCCTAGCTCAGGAGGTCTGCTACTTCCCAGGAGCCCGCATCTGGGACGTAGCCGAGAGGATCCCAAAGATCATCCAGCCCTCCGACCACTACCCTATGCTCCTTATCCATGTGGGCATGAATGACACAGCTCGTAGCAACGTGCTCATCATGGAAGACTCCCTCCTGAGGGGGACTGAGAGGGCAATCTGCCGCCCCGACCCCTAGCTCAGGAGGTCTGCTACTTCCCAGGAGCCCGCATCTGGGACGTAGCCGAGAGGATCCCAAAGATCATCCAGCCCTCCGACCACTACCCTATGCTCCTTATCCATGTGGGCATGAATGACACAGCTCGTAGCAACACCAGCCGGGTCATGAGAGACTACAGGGCTCTGGGAGCAGAGGTTGGAGGCACAGGTGGTCTTTTCCTCGCTCCTCCTGGTTGTGGGTCATGGGCTGAGGAGGGAGAGACGGGTCGAGGTAGTCAACTGCGGCGCTGGTGTCATCGTGAAGGCTTCAGCTTCCACGGTCACAGCCTGCTCTTTGGTGAGGGAGGCAGTGGGCTGCTGGGAAGAGATGGCATCCACCTCACTCTGCTGGTGTGGAGGCTTTTCTCAGCCAGACTTGCTGACCTGCTCAACCGGGCTTTAAACTGAGCCTGCCAGGGGATGGGGGAAGTACTGCCACTGCAAGCCCACTGGGCAGTTTTTGTAAAACCAGCAGGCTAAGGTACTCAAGGGAATCCACCCCTACCCCAGCCCCAGAGCGATCTGTAGGAAAGGCAAGGGCCCCCAATGGGACACTTACGTGCCTGTAAACCAATGCCAGGAGCCTGGGGAACAAATAGGAGGAACTGGTCCTCCTGCTAAACCAAAAGGATTATGATCGCATAGGGATAACGGAGACCTGGTGGGACTCCACCTATGCCTGGGCCACAGGTATAGATGGCTATACCAGGTACAGGAGAGATTGTGTGGACAAAAGGGGTGGGGGGGTAGCTCTCTATGTCAAGAAAAGCTATGCATCCCTGCAAGCTGACATTGGCACCCAGGGGGGACAATCAGAGACTCTGGGCCAAAATCCATGGCGAACAAGGCACAGGGGACATAATGGTGGGGGTCTACTACAGACCTCCTAGCCAAGATCAAGAGCTTGACCAGGAATTTGCCAGGGAACTAGCTGAGGCTGCACGCTCCCGGTGCATGCTTGTCATGGGAGATTTCAACTACCCTGACAGCTCGTGGGAAGAGTACTCGGCCACATCTAAACAGTCGTAAAACTTCCTCGTGTGTGGATGAGCTCTATCTGACTCAAAAAGTCTATGGACCGATGAGAGGCAAAGCGCTGCTCGACCTGGTACTGGCAACGGGGGATGACTTAATCAGTGACCTAACGATTGAAGGGAAGCTGAGAGACAGTGACCATGAGCTGATCACCTTCACCATCTGCTGTAAAGCTGGCAAGTCAGTCAGCAAAGCAGAAGTCCTTGACTTCAGGAAAGCTGACTTTGACAAGCTCAGAAGGCTTGCTGGTGAGGCCCTAAGGGACCATGACCCAAAGGGGAGGGGAGTACAGGAAGAGGGGTTGCTCCTCAAGGGAGCGATCCTGAAAGCACAAGCAATGTCTAGCCCATCTTGGAGGAAAGGCAGCAAAAGGGCACAGCAGCCCCCTTGGCTCTGCATGGAACTAGCGGACCTCCTGTGACTAAAAAGAAAGGCCTATAAAGGATGGAAGGCTGGATCCACCCCAAAGGAGGAGTACTCTGCACTGGTCTGGACCTGTAGGGAGCGAACCAGGAAAGCCAAGGCTACATCTTAACTCTAACTGGCCACACGTATCAAGGACAATAAAAAGTCCTTTTTTAGATATGCAAAAAATGCAAGGTACTCCACCTTGGGAAGAAAAACCCACAACATACTTACAGGCTTGGCAGTGCTATGCTTGCTAACACCACGGCCAAAAGGGACTTGGGGGCCATGACTGACCACAAGATGAATATGAGCCATCAATGTGATGTTGCAGCCAACAAAGCAAGCAAAACTCTGGCTTGCAATCATAGATGCTTCTCTAGCATTCCCAGGATGTCATCCTCCTGCTGTACTCGGCCTTGGTGAGGCTGCAGCTGGAGTACTATATCCAGTTCTGGGCTCCACAATTTAAAAAGGATGTGGAGAAGCTTGGGAGAGTCCAGAGGAGAGCCACATGCATGATCAGAAGGCAGGAAACAGGCCTTATGATGAGAGGCTGAGAGCTATGGGACTCTTCAGCCTGGAAAAGCGCAGGCTCAGGGCAAACCTGATGGCTGCCTATAAGTGCATAAGGGGTGTACATCAGGATCTGGGGGAACATCTGTTCACCAGAGCGCCCCATGAGATTACAAGGTCAAATGATCACAAACTTCTCCAACACCGTTTCAGGCTGGACATAAGAACTTCTTTACAGTCCGAGCCCCCAAGACCTGGAACAGACTGCCGCCAGAGGTGGTACAAGCACCTACTCAGGATTCCTTTAAGAGTCAATTCAATGTTTATCTTGCTGGAATCCTGTGACCCCAGCTGACTTCCTGCCCCTGGGGCAAGGGGGTGGACTCGATGATCTTCCAAGGTCCTTTCCAGCCCTAATGTTTATGAGATCTATGAAGTAACTGTTTAAAAAAGACTAGAGGTTGTGCTATTTTAAGTGTACCAATGCGCTGAGCATCATATATAGCTTTCATTCAAGTGAAAAGAGTTGTGGATACTGAGCCCTTCTGGAAGTCAGGTCCAGGTTTTCTCTGCTATTTGTGAGGCTTCTGTTGTGTAAATATAATCCACGTAGTCTTGAATAAAAACTTTTATTAATGTTGTAAATACCCATTTTCCAAAAACCTTGAATGACAACTGGAGGCCAAGGTGAAAGCCAGATCAGAATCCTGAAAACTAAGAATTCCAACCGGCTTCCATTCTTGCCTTTCATTCATTCTTACCCTTTTCTGCTATCTCCATCTCTATCTCACTTTTGGATCTTCACTTGCATGCATAAGTTCCCAACTGTCACAGCAATACAGCCCCAAATCCTTCCTTCTTAAATCACGTAAGTAGTTAAATTGCCCTAATAACCTTTACAAATCAGACCTGATGCCTATGCAGATTGAA